TTTGCTCTTACCCCAGCCCTGCTATCGATTTGCTATGTGACTTGGGATAAGCCGCTATCTGTCTCTCAGTCTCAATTCCCTCTTTTGTCGGACAATATTAGCATCTTTATCTAAAAACAATAAACTTCCACATTACAGCTTTGGGGACCTACAGCCTGAGGTGAAATCCTGCCTCTGCTACTTACTAGCTGTGTGGTGTCAGGCAATGTAGGCACCTTCTCTGAGCCGCTGCCTCCTCATCTGTAAATGGCATAATGATAGAGACCGCATCACATGTGAGCCTTTTGCATGCCCTGCCTGTTTTGCTCTTCACACACCTGTAATGCAGCTGCTCTCACTGTCCTCCCGTGGGGAACGACGGGAGGGTGGCGAGCCCCGGGCTCTCCCCATCCCTCATTCTGTCGCCGCAGCTTGGCTGTTGGAAGGCTTCGTGCATTTCCTCTCCTGGTGGACTCTGGCCTTGGCCAGTGCTTGCCATCTGGGCCTCAACCTTGGTCAGGGACATTGCAATGACAAGACACTTCCTGGGTGGGACAGGCATCCACAGCCCTCCACATTAGTGCAAAGAACAATGAAGCTCCTGAATCAGGGATGGAGGAGAAACCCGTCAGGACCTGAGAAGGGACGAGGCCTGAAGGGCACTGAGCTGCAGGTGGCTGCAGGACCAAGGACCATTTGAGGGATGGGGACACCGTCAGACCACCCACACCCCAGACACAGAGCCAGTGTTAGTCAGCATCTTAACCTGGGTTCCCTGGAAGGATCTGAGTGTAGGTGGCTTATCAGGGATCCCTGGTACAGGGGAGCGGGGGGAAGAAAGTGAGGGTGGGGGGTGGAGAAAGGAAGCCAACAACGTGTGTGCTGTCGGTTGAGTGCTGCCGATGGAGTGTGTGCTCTCAGTAAAGTGTGTGCTATTGATAAAGCGTGTGCTGTTGATAAAGCGTGTGCTATTGATAAAGCGTGTGCTATTGATAAAGTGTGTGCTATTGATAAAGCATGTACTGTTGATAAAATAGTGTGTGCTCTCAGTAAAGTGTGTGCTATTGATAAAGCGTGTGCTGTTGATAAAGCGTGTGCTATTGATAAAGCGTGTGCTGTTGATAAAGTGTGTGCTATTGATAAAGCATGTACTGTTGATAAAATATGTGCTATTGATAAAGCATGTGCTATTCATAAAGCATGTGCTATTGATAAAGTGTGTGTTATTGATAAAGCGTGTGCTATTGGTAAAGCGTGTGCTATTGATAAAGCGTGTGCTATTGACAAAGCGTGTACTGTTGATAAAATGTGTGCTATTGATAAAGCGTGTGCTATTGGTAAAGCATGTGCTATTGATAAAGTGTGTGCTATTGATAAAGCGTGTGCTATTGGTAAAGTGTGCTATTGATAGTGTGCTGCTGATAAAGTGTGTGTTATTCATAAAGCATGTGCTATTGAGCCAAACACCACTGTGAGAAATGGAGCTTAATCCCTCAGGGAACTGCTGGGAAATGGTACAAAAACACCCGCTGCACAATGATCCCACCCAGGGGTATTTATAAATGAATGCCTGAGATCGCTCGCTGACCACTGGTCCTGGGAGTAATTCCCTGAACTTTCAATTTCTTGCAGCCTCTGGGTTTCTGTAAAAGACTCTGAGCATGGAAAAGCACGTCTTGGCAGCGGGAGGTTGGTCAGGACCCTGAAAGAACCAGGACACACGGGCAGGGCTCTGACTGCAGCTGGCGGAGTTAGACTCGGGCCAGGCTTGCGCGGAGCAGCTGGGGGCTCTGGCCAGCTCTGAACCTGCAGCACCCCAATGGGAAGAGGGGGCGGACGGGGCCACCTCTAGGGACTCTCTTGGTACCAGCACTCTGGGGGCTGCACATCTGTGAGAACCACCTCTGGATTCAGGGAGACCAGCTCGGCAGGGGCTCAGTACCTGGGGCGCTCCCAGGTATGCACGAGCTCTGCCTGCTGCTCTCCAGCCTCCAGGCCAGGAGACAGCCGTCTTCCTACAGTCAACGTCCCCACACAATAGGGAGTGATTATTTTATGGTGGTGAACTATACATAACACGAAATTTGCCGTCTTAATCATTTTTAGGTGCACCGTTCAGTGGCATTAAGTCCATTCACATCGTTGTGCCACCATCCACCCCCAGAACTTTTTCATCTTCCCAAACTCTGTACCCATTAGACCCTAACTCCCCATGCCCGCCTCCCCCAGCCTCTGGCAACCAGCGTTCTATTCGCTGTCTCTATGAACGTGACTCGAGGGTGATTTTTAAAGAGCATCTCAGTGACCAAATGCCACCTGCCTTCTCCCCTTCCTCCCCCAGGTTGGCGCTTGCACTCGAGTCGGGGTAGTGCTGTGGCCGCCAGCCCCGCACCTCTGTCATTCATGTATGAAATAGAAATGCTACAGAGCTTTGTGTATAAGATTGTTCTTCTTAGTAGCAAAAGCAGAACAAAACAAAAGCCACGAAATCTATCTGTAAATTAGTTAAACAAATTGTGGCACACGATAAAGCGTGGTGGCCCACTATACTCGCAATACGGGTAGATAGCGATGATATGATGCTAGAAAGGAAGCAGGTTCCAAACGTGCACAGGTTCCCTAAGACCCCAAGTCACAAGGGCCTGGGGCACTTATTTTTCCAGTGCTCAGCTGGGGTCCTTTGCTGGGAACTGCCCTCTACCGAACAGGGCTGCCTCAACAAAGCCTACGGAATATATGCTTTAAAATGACCAGGCCTTATCCTTGGGGTAGTGTGAGTACAGGTAATTTTCCTGCATTTCTCAAATTTTTGACATGAAATATGTGTTACTTTTCTGCTGTATTCTCCAGGTCCTTTTCACTCTACCTCTTTGCTGTTCCTTGAACTTGCCAGACGTTCCTGCCTCTGGGCATTTGCACTTGCCCTGCCCTCTGCCTGGAGCTCTCTTCCCTAGACGCATGCTGGCCCACTCCCTCCCCAACTTCAAATGTCACCTCCTCGGTGAGGTCTCCTCAGATCCACCCTAGTGAGGTATAACCCCCAAACCCCATCCTTCTTCCAGCACACCCCTCCCCTCCCCCGCTTTATTTTTGTCCATAGCACTTGTTGCCACCTGACATGCTGTGTGTATTACTTCTTTACTTATTCATTGCCTGTCTTTACCCTCTAGAATGTAGGGCCTTTGTCTGTTTTTTTACTGCTCAGCACCTAAAACAGCTAAGTGCTGTTCTCAGTACACACTAGGTACTCTAAGATGTTCTAAGAGTACCTACACAGTAGGTGCTTAACAAATGGTTGTTGGGGCCAGGTGCAGTAGCTCACCCTGGAAATCCCAGAACATTGGGAGGCCAAGGATCTCTTGAGGATCGCTTGAGGCCAGTAGTTCAAGACCAGCCTGGGCAACACAGTGAGACCCCCATCTCTACAAAAAATTAAAACATTAGCCAGGTGTGGTGGTTCATGCCTGTAGTCCTGGCTACTCAGGAGGCTGAGGTGGGAGGATTGCTGGAGCCCAGGAGTTTGTCACTACAGTGAGCTATGATCGCACCATGGCCCTCCAGCCTGGGCAACAGAGTGAGACCCTGTCTCTAAGAAAACAAGAAGAAGAAACAAACGGTTGTTGAATGAATGAGTAAATGCACGAATGGGGCCATTCCACTCTTCTTTGAGCTCCTACCAGGTTCTCATTTAGGGACAGGAGGGGGAGCAGGGGTGGGACAGGAAGTAGGAAACAGCAGCAGCAGATGGGGTGGTGGACAGGAAGAAGGAGGACCCCTGGATGACGCCAGCCAATGACAAGCCATCATCCAGACACCAGGTTCATTATGGCACTGGGGTCAGGTGGCAAACGGTTTCTGATATGGTCCCCAGAGTGAGAGCAGCAGTGTGTCCAGAGCATCGAGGGCCCCAGGGCAGAGGGAATTCAACCAGGAAACTAACATTCACGCAAAACATCCAGGTTTTGAGAACACTCCAGAAGAGGTGTTCTCAAATACAGACGGGCTGCCAGTGGGAAGAAGGTGATCCTAAGGGGGTGAACTAGGGCTACTGGGTAGATATTTACAAGGACTCCTATTTTGGCTTAAGAACTGGCTCCTCCCTCACCACCCCCATGAGAACTATCCAACGGGTTGAACTTCCTGGCTTCGGTGAGTTTGCTGTCCCCATGCATGCAGAGTCGACGATTCACTCGCCCATGGCTTGAACTTTCAATCAATCCATTCAATCGCTACCCATTAAGTGTGTGTCCTTGCTCGGCACTGTGAAAACAATGACGACTTAACGCTATTGAAATAAATAAATACACACACAAGACAAAGTGTGAAGGCACGAAACTGGGCTGCCAGAGACAGGCCTCTCTAGGGCCTCCCAGATATCCGAGGGAGCCCTGAATGATGAACATGCCTCCAGCCCGTGAGATGCGGGAAAACGCACCCCGGGCACAGCAGACCTCAGGGGCATGGCACGGCGCGCTAGGGCCGGCAGGGACCTCAGTGCGCACTGGAGGAACGCGAGGCCCACAGGTGGGGAGCGACTTGCCCGTGGACACACAGCAAATCGGTGCAGCCGTCGAGGGGTGGAGGATCAGCCGAGCCGCCCCGCACCCCACCCCACGCCACCGCTTCGAAGCCAGACACCGGCTGGCGGCCAGATCCACCAGCCACGAGCAGCGAAGGCGAGGGGCAGCGAGAGGTGAAGCCGGAGGTGGAGACAGCCGGGACTGGACCCCTAGGGGGTGGGAAAAGGGGACAGGGGGCGGCACCGCTGACGTCATTTCCGGAGTCGGGGGCATATAAGCGGGGCGCACGAGCGCTGCTGCTACTGCAGTACACGAGTCCGGTGCAGAGGCTCGTGGCGGACCGACGGACGGACGGACGGACGCACGCCGAGACACTGCGCCCCTCACCCCCGCGCCAGCGCCGCCGCAGCCCGCCCCACGGCCGCCGGTCCAGCCGCCCCTCGCCCGGGAGCCTCGGTGCCCGGCCCCACATCGCCAGCTGCTCGGCGCCCCGGGATCGCCATGCGCTCCGCCGCCGTCCTGGCGCTCCTGCTCTGCGCCGGGCAAGGTGAGCGGGCGCGGGGGCTCGGGGGAGAGGGTCCCCGGGCGCCCCTGCCCGCCCTGCCTGCTCTTGCCCTGCCCGCCCCGAGGTCCAGGCACCCGCCGCGCAGCGCCAAGCACCCCTCCACGCCTCCCCGCGGGCGCGGCGAGTTTCAGCACCGCGGACAGCGCCTCCGCCTCCCACCTGACTCCGCAACGGGCCTCCGCCCAGGACCCGCAGGACGCTTGGGCTGGACTCCCAAGCCCGCGGGGCCGGCCCCCTCGCGCCCCCACCCCTAGTCTGGGCTTGGCGCCTCGCTGCATCGGGGCCAGCGCCGGTCCGCGCGGTGGCCGGCCAAGGTCACTGGGGGGAGGTGGGAGAGACTGCTCGCTCCCCCTCTCCGCTTTCTCCCTGCTCCATCCCCCCACCCTCCCTGGCTTTCGGCCCTTGCTTCTCCCTCTCCGTATCGTCTCTCACAATCCCCCCATCTCTTTCCCCCACCTCTGGGGCCTCTCTCCCTCCCCCTGCAAAGTCCCCCACCCCAATCCCACTGCTGCCCTTGGCCTTGTTTTCATAGCACTTTCCCCTCCAGAGCACACCTCCTCCGCGGCAGGAGCCTTCCCAGGGGGAGGGAGGGCCTCCCAGTGCAGCCTCTGGGGGCCATGCCCCGCGGGCAGCAGCCGGGGAAGGGAAACAAAATCAGCCCCAGCCAGTCTTTTAGGTGGGGGCAGTTTGGAGGGGGAGCATTGAGTGCACGGGCCCCAGTGAACCCAGTCAGCAAGGACTGGGCTGCCTCCGAGCAGAAGAGTGACGCCAGTGCTCTTTCTTTCTCCCTAGTCACTGCCCTCCCTGTGAACAGCCCTCTGAATAAAGGGGACACCGAGGTAAGAGGGGTGCTGGGGATGAGGGGTAGGAGGCTCCAGTGGACACCTCACAGCCAGTTCTTGGGCAGCTGCAGGAGTGAGTGTGGCATAAAGCCAAGAGCCAGCACTGCGGCTGCTGAGCCTGGGGACAGCTTGCAAAAGAAGATATCAAAGATTGCTTACTTTTCCTGCCATCCCGCTGTGGGGACTTCCCCAGCTTCCTCTGAGCTGCCTGTGCAGCCCGAAGGGCCAGTGTCTTAGCCGGGTGGAGGTGCCAGGCCCGCTTGCTGTCTTGAACACTGAATCCAGTAGGCCCACCGTGGGCTGGTGGGGGCAGCTTCTCTGTGGTCGTCTTTGTCCACAGACCTGTGAGAATAGCCTTCACCTGCCCAGCTGTGGCCTCCCCCTTCCCTCTTCCTCTCCCCACAAGGTCTGCCAGCAACACCCCCGACCCCAGGCACTCTAGCCCTGGCTCTCCTAAAGGGCCACAATGAAAACATACTTTTTTCTCTTTTTTGAGACAGTGTCTCACTCTGTTGCCCAGGCCAGAATACAATGGCATCGTGATAGATCACTGCAGCCTCAAACTCCTAGGCTTAAATGATCCTCCTGCCTCAGCCTCCTGAGTAGCTGGGGCTATAGGCATGTACCACCATGCCTGGCTAATTTTTTCTATTTTTTTTTAGAGATGGCATTTTGCTATATTGCCCAGGCTGGTCTTGAACTCTTAGCCTCAAGTGATCCTCCTGCCTTGGCCTCCCAAGGTGCTAGGATTACAAGCATAAGGCACCACACCTGGCCTGAAAACATTCTTGACCATGCTCCTGCACCCGGGATCCCAGCTGGGCCTGGCGGTGGAGATCACATGGGACAGGGCCTTATGAAACACCGGGAAGGGTTTCTCTAGCAGCAAGAGACACTCCATGCTGTGCGTGTACTTGGAATTCATTCATGATGGAGCTGGAGCTGTTTTTCCAGGCTTTGGTTCTCATATAAACTTCCACTTGGGGATCAGAGAAATTTCTACTCCCTACCTTTCCAGGAGCTATTTTCTTCTAGTAGAGGCCACAGTTAAAACCCAAAACATCAAAGAGATTTCAGCCTCAATTTGCTTAATTATATTTCCTATTTTTTAGTTGCAGTTAGAGCAAAATTTAAACCCCTACCATTCATTCTAGCTGTGCAACCTTGGGAAAAATTCCTTAACTTCTCCGAGCTTCCCCTTTTCCTCCTTTCCCTCAAGAGGAAGAGTAAAGAGTGGGAATCATGGCCGTGAAGTGCCTGGCACATAGCTGGTCCTTGGTAAATGGGCACCATTATTCCTAGAGCTTCCCTTCTTGTGATCCCCACATGCTTCTTGGGACGTCTCCCCAGTTCCTGTCTTCTGGAATCTGCTCCCATGGACAGGTGGTATCTGACAGGCAAGGTCTTAGGTTGCAGGGAGATACCGGGAATAGGCTGCTGGACCCTCTGCCAGGTCCCTCATGGGAGACACGCTGGTCACCATATTATGTCCGGCAGTCTTGGGCCAGGGGCACCAGAGCAGCTAGTTAAGACCCGAATGCTCCATCTGAAGCTGTTGCGACTACACACACATTCCGTAGAGCACTTGCCAGTTTGCCATCCCGCATCCTTGGACCGGTTGCCTTGGCATCCCTTAGACACAGCCTTCCACCCCCACGCTCCCCGCCAGCGTTGCCTGACGCCTGTCTGACACCTCCTGCTCCTCTACCCAGGCTATTGAAGCAGGTCTGGAGTTGTGACTCCCTCTCTGGGTGTGTTGACACTTCACGCTGGAAAAGAGTATTTTTCCATCTGTGCCTCATTACCCTGGGAGGGCAGCTGGGAAGGTATCCTTACTCCCATTTTACAAATGAGGAAACTGAAGCTCAGAGAGGTTAAGTCACTTGCCCAAGATCACACAGCTAGTATACCGCACTACAGTTGGTACCATCATCAAAGATCACTCATTCATCAGGTACCTAATCATCTGCAGCACCTTCATGGGCAGTGGATAAGATTCTCAGAGGTGTGGCTGCAATTGGCCTGGACGGGCACCCAGATGTAGCCAGTTTGTGCTCACGTCTAGCCAGGGGATTCATCCCATGGGTCAATAAGGAGCCAGAATATGAAGCTGTGACTCTTTGCATGTGACAACGTCATGGGTGTTGGGAGACAAGTCCTGTTTCCACAAAGGGAAGAGCCAGGGAAGGTCTTTTGCTCCTCTGGGCAGTCTAGAAGGACTTCCTGGAGGAGCTGACCTTCGGGCATCTTCAAGACCAAAGCCCAGTTTAAAGACATCTGTTTAGTGCCCAGGAGCAGATTCCTCGTACTTAGAGAAATAGAACTTGGGGATGACAAGATATCAGGTATCCACCCTGACACCTAACTCTCACCACGATCCACCTTAGAGGGGCGCCTGCTGGCCGTGTGGTTGGAGTGCCTGGCACATGGTAGGCACCATGTAAGGGTTTTCTATTATCACTGCTATTATTGTCTGACTAAGAAAGCAGAGCTGTGCCCCTGAGCCAGGCATCCACTAACTCCTGAAAACAAAAGCAAACGCCCTCTGTCCTCATTAGAAATTTGCCCTAGAGCTTCGGGGGGCTGAGCCCCACGCCCAAACCAGCCCCAACCTACCCCACTCTCTTCCCAGGTGATGAAGTGCATCGTCGAGGTCATCTCTGACACGCTCTCCAAGCCCAGCCCCATGCCCGTCAGCCAGGAGTGTTTTGAGACACT